TCCTTTACTCATTCATCTGTTGTTGGCCACTTGGCTGATTCCATTGTTTGGCTATTGTGAACAATTGCAAACATACACACACACACACACACACACACACACACAACTTAGGTGCGACTTTAATTCTTTCTTAAAAATTTTTGTTTTATTGTAAAGATGTTGTACAGAGGGGTTACAGTTACATGAGTAAGGTAATGAGAACATTTCTGGTTGAGCATTGTTACTACCTCTTTTGTTGTTCTTCCACTATCTCAGCACTCCCCCACCTCCCCCACTCCTCCCCCCCCCAAGTTGTAAAGTTGATTGTAACTCTTGTATATTGATTTATTCTAATTCAGATTTATATGAGTCCTTCCCAAACATTTAATAACCATCATTCTACTTTCATCTCCAATTCTCAACTTTTAAAAATTCAACCTATAAGTGAGATAATACTTTGTCTTTTGTTTTCATCTAAGCACAAAGAATGATGAGAAAAGTAGATTCAGCAGCAGAGAAACAGGGTCAAATATTCAACTTCAATCCCAATTATTTCCATAATAAGTGAGTTTTCTTAAGAAAAAAACTCATATCCTCATGGGTTAGCTCTCTGAAATTTTCCCAATTCAAACTACAAAATATTTCAGTTAAAAAACACCACGTTGTATGGTTGAACTGAGAAACATTACATGTGATAAGTGTCCTTAATGTGTCCTTCAAATGTCCTTAAAATGTTGAGCTTCTTTTGTATATTGTCATCCAAAGATGAATATACAGTTGATGAAGGAAATTTTATAGTAAGTATGAATAAGATTAAAAAGGAAATAGATAACGATGAAATCCAGAGGGAAATGAAGCACTGGGGGGGGCAGGAGGGGGACAGGGGAAAGTTTTGGGACTCTGTACCCATTGTTTTCTTTTTTTTAATAATTAATTTACTGTTGTTACTATAGAGGTGATGTACCAATGGATTACAATTACATGAGTTAAGTAATGAATACATTTCCTTTCCTACAGTGTCTTCTGTTCCCTCATTCTCTCCCAGTCCCTCCCTCCCATCTCCACTCATGAGTTGTACATTGGACACTGTCATCCGTGTCCAATAAGTTCCACTACTGCACTTTTTCCACCCCTTTTCCCTCTAGTTCTGTATCCTCCCCTCAATTCAAATGAAAATATACACTTGACTACATGATACATAAGGAAAAGAAGAAAGAATCATTACAATTTTTAAATATTTTAAAAAGAGGTCTTTTGTTTTTATATTTTGGAGTTCATATATATATATATATATATATATATGAGCTCATACTTTTATGTAAATATGAAGAGGCAAGTAGGCATTGCACCCTGTGTTTCTTCATTAAGGGTATCCTTTTTCAGTCTTACTGTGTATGAGTATCTAGAATCAATATAATTTATTATATTGAAGTGTACTCCAGATCTAATTTCTGCATATCAGAGAGAATAAGCTCTATTTGTGTCTCTGACTTGGCTTACCTCACTTAACATGATTTGTTCTAATTCCACAATTTCCCTGTAAATTACATTATTTTATTCTTTCTAATGGCTGTTTAAATTTCCATTGTATATAGGCATTACAATTTTTGGATCCACTCATCTATTATGGAGCATCTGGGCTGTTTCCATACTGTGGCTATTGTGAATAGTGCAGCAATGAACATGGTTGTGCAGGTGTCTTTATCATAGCCTGGTTTATATTGTTCAGGTAGATGCCCAGGAGTGGTATGGCTGTGTCACAGGGAAGGTCTATGTTTAGTTTTTTGAGGAATCACAAGACTGTTGTCCAGAATGGTTGTAGTAGTTTACATTCTCCATCCCATTAAAAGTGCAGTAGGGTTCTTTTTTCCCCACAACCCCTCCAACATTTGTTGTGGTTTGATTTCATTTCACAATGTTGACCAATCTAACTGAAGTGAGAGGGAATCTCAGATTTTGTTGTTGTTGTTGTTGTTAGTTGTGGGGTTTGAACTCTGGACCTGGGTGCTGTCCCTCAGCTCTTCAGCTCAAGGCTTGTGCTCTACCACCACAGCGCCACTTCCTGTTTCTAGTAGTTTATTGGAGATAAGAGTCTCAGAGACTTTCCTGCCCGAGCTGACTTTGAACTGTGATCCTCAGACCTCAGCCTCCTGATATTATAGGCATAGGATTATAGGCATTAGCCATCTGTACCCGGCTTCTCATTTCTATTATAGCTCGGGATGATGAGCATTTCCTCATGTGTTTCTTTTTCATTCTTATTTCTTCTGAGAAGTCTCTCCTTAGCACCCTTGCCCATTTAGTGATTGATTTATTGGGTTTGGGAGGGGTTTCTTGAGCTCTGTGTATATTGGATATTAGGCCTTTGTCTGATATAGTATTAGTCTTTACTAGTCAGTCTGTTGGCTGTCTATCTAGTTTTGTAACTGTGTACTTAGCTGTACAGACACTTTTTATTTTGATGTAGTGTCCCATTTGTCAAGTCTCTCTCCTAACTGTTGCGCCCCTGGGACTCTTTTCAAGAAGTTTCTCTCTACTAGTTCTCACGTTTCTCCTACTATTTCTTCTAGTAGTTCCAAAATTTCAGTTCTGACATTGAGGTCTTTGATCCACTTTGAGCTGATATTAGTGAATGTTGATGAACAAGGATCCACTTTTAGTTTTCTGCATATGGATACACAGTTTTCCCAACACCAACTGTTGATGAGGCTATTTTTTTCTCATTATATGTCCTTGGCACCTTTATCAAATATCAGATAACTGTAAGTATATGGTTTTATTTCTGGGTCTTCCAATCCATTCCATTGATCTTCAGGTCCTTTTCTGTGCCAATCCCAAGCTTTTTTTCTCATTACAGCTCTGCAATAGAGCTTGAGGTCTGGTATTGTGATACTACCTACATTGCTTTTTTTTTTTTTTTTTTTGCCTAGAATTGCTTTGGCTGCTCTAGAACTTTCATTGCTTCCTATGGATTTTTTGACTATTTTGTCTACCTCAGTAAAGAGTGTCATTGAGATTTTGATTGGAATTGTGTTGAATTTGTATATCATTTTTGGCAGTATGGCCAGTTTCATAATATTGATTCTACCCATCCATGAACCTGGAAGGTCTTTCTATTTCCTGGCATCCTCTTTGATCTCTTTCTTCAGATTTGTATAGTTTTCATTACAACTATCTATTACTATCTTTTGGTTAGGTTTATTCCTAGTTGTTTTTTTCTTTGAGGCTATCGCAAATGAAGTTGTTTTCATGATTTCTTTTTCTGCTTGTACCTTGTTGGCATATAGAAAAGCTTCTGAATTTTGTGGGTTAATTTTGTATTCAGCTACTTTGCCATAGTGGTTGATCAGTTCTAGGAATTTGGGGATGGAGTTTTTTTTGGTTGTTTAGGTATAAGATTATGTCTTCTGCAAGTTGGAATAGTTTGATTGCTTCTTTCACTATTTGAATCTCTTTATGTTCTTTACTTGCCTTATTGCTCTGGCTAGGCATTCCAGAACGATATCAAAAAGAGAGTAGACATCTTTGCCTTGTTCCTGATTTTAGAAGAAATGGATTTAGTTTTTCCCTATTCAGTATGTTGGCTACTGATCTGTCATATATAGCTTTTATTGTTTTAAGAAATTGTTTTAAGACAATTTGCTCCATGAAAGTTAGAATGTGTTTGTGACTTTAACTAAGTATCACTATCCCACAACACTGTGAACTTTGGGAAATTATGTAACCATTTAATCACAATAAAAAATTTGAAGAAAAAAGAAATGTTCCTTCTATTCCTAGCTTCTCCAAAGCTTTTAAATATGAATGGAAGTTGTATTTTGTTGACGGCATTTTCTGCTTCTGTTGAGATGATATGCACTTCCTCTCTTTGGTTCTGTGAATTACAATTATTGATTTGTGTATGTTGCCTTACCTCTACATGTCCCATTATTTATTTTTCCTCCCAATGCTTTGTGAAGTCAGACTTGTCTTTAGATCCCTCACAGCTTTGTGCATGCCTAGATGCAAACACTGGGTAAGAGCAAATTCCACTGTGTTAGAACATTCCAGAAACACTTGGAACTGCCTCATGACTGTCCTTGCACTTGTTGCAGATAAGGTTTTGGACTATCCTCTACTCTTCTTTTGATGCTAGTCAAGAAATTGCACTGCTAAGAATTATCTCAGGCAAACCGGAGTTATCAGGCTCATGTTTATTGCTATTCATTTCTTCCTGGGTGTTTCACCCATTGGATTTCATATCTGGCATGGGCATAACACAGGTCACTTTTTTGGCCTTTATTGATTGGTTAACAGTGAGATTGAAAAGGAAGACATTATTCTCAGTAAGAGAGAGAAAAAAATGCAACATATTATATTGAATAAGTATAATGGAGAATAGATTTTTATTTTCCTTTCCTAAGCCTGCTCCACAAAGCTTCTTATGTATACCTCTTTTGCTAAGGTTGATGTACAAGTCAGAAATCAACACTGAGAGGCATTTGTTTATTTTGAAATTACTGATTTCTCTGGGATTTCCCACAGTAGAAAGTCATGAATACATTATTCTGAAATAGGGACATAGAGAGGAAAGATATACGATGATCTTGATTTCCCTTAACTCTATTGATCTATAAGGTACCCACCAGCCATCTTCTTATTAACTTGAATTATAATATGTATTAAGTAAAGCATGGGGGAAATTTTTATAATAAAGTTGTGCCTATGTCCTCACAATTAAGATCAGGAGAAAGACATCCAGAATCCTTTCTGTGACCCCACACAGGCATTGTTCTGCTCCTCCAAAGCAGCTAATACTGTGACTTCTTTTTTTTTTTTTTTTTTTACCTGTTGAACAAATTTTTAATTTAAGAACAGCTTCACAAATCTTTTGGAAGATCAGAAAAGAAATAAACATTATAAAGCACATTACACAAATCCCATTCTTTTTGTTGTTGGTTGTGAGGCTTAAACTCAAGGCCTGAGCATGGTCCCTGAGCTTTTTTACTCAATGCTAGAGCTTTACCACTTTGAGTCACAGTAGCACTTCCGGTTTCCTACTGGTTAATTGGAATTAAAAGTCTCATGGTCTTTCCTATCTAGGCTGGCTGCAAACAGCTATCAGATATGAGTGCCCTGAGTAACTATGGCGCCTGGCTGCAAACCCCATTCATGAAGCCAGGTTCTTTCACAAATTACCAAACAGCACTTGTTGCTGAAGAGTCAACATCTCGAATCTGATAGTCACATCTGAAGAACCAAAGATAAGTTTTCTGGCTTGGACTTGTGAGAAGTCTTTTCCTTCAGAATCTTGATGAGTGAATCTAAGCGAGCATGTATTAGCATTATTTTCTCTTTGAGCTCTGCAATCTTTTCTGGTAGAGGTACATTCTGAATATCAATCTCAGATGCATTTACTACAGCTTTTGTTTTTAACCGATAGCAAACCATTTTATCACTAGAAAGGCAGAAGTGACCTCTTAAAGCAGCCAAAGCAGCGTGGGTGGAATACAAATGGAAGCCAATGGGAATTCCACAGGAACTACAGAATAGAAGGTTGTAAGTGCTGCATTTGAGCGAACCTTCAATGCCAACCAGAAAGGGCGCTTCCAAAACGACGTTGTTTTTGATTCTGGAGAAGGCCACGGCCCCGAGCGCCCGCGACACGTCCCAAGCCAGGTGCAGCCAGTCAGCGAGCACCGCGAAGCACCGCGCGCACTGGAACAAGGCGCAGCGCTCCGGGCGCAGCCACCATGGCAGCCACGGCCCGGCGGGGGCTTCCGCCGCTCCCACCCCCGCGGGGCCGAGCGACGAGGACCCCACCACCACCTGCGTGTCCCACTCCATGCAGGTGGCACCAGAAGAGTCGTCGGAAGCCTCTTTAACGACGTGGCGAAAGTCACACCAGGAGCGCTGGGGCGAACGCGAGCGGGGAGCGGCCGCCATGCTTCCGCAGCACGCGCGCCCTGGTCTAATACTGTGACTTCTAACACTGCAGATCACTTTGACTTGATTGCAGGTTTTGTTTGAAGGAAATGATAGCAATCTATGAACTAACTTTGGCAAACTATGTCTGCAAATTTTATCTATATTTTATGAGTGTAAGCCATTAATTTTTTTTATTGTATACTTTCTTCTGTTGTAAAGCTGTGACAACATGAATATATCCATTTAGTACATACACACACACACACACACACACACACACACACACACATATACACACACACATTATTTTGTCATTCCTGGGGCTTGAACTCAGGCACTGACCTTGAGCTCTTTTCCTCAAGGCTAGCACTCTGCCACTCAGAGCCACAGTTCCACTTCTGCTTTTCTGGTGGTTAGTTGGAGATAAGCTCATACCCTTCTGAGTAGCTAGAATTACAAGCATGAGCCATCAGCACCAGCCCCCAGGTTTGTTGTTATATATTTTAAGTCATTGTGCTAACCGTTTATTGGAATAAGCTAATTTTATTATGTGTGCTTATATGAAAAGTTCTTTGATACTTATTTACTATGCCTCTTACTGTCAATGATATTTGTCAATAAGTAGACTATTTTTCCACATTTATAGGTTTTTATTTCTTTTGTTTTTGCTTCTTTAATACTTATTGCAAATTGTATTTTGTACAAAACACAAGGATATTTTAAAGGAATCAGGAACAATTATCTCCTTATCTTTCCAAGTTCTCAATTGGTAATTTGGTAACAAAAGATTAACAACAACAATGAAAAACAAATGAGAGTTTATCACATAGCAAAGATACAAGGAAGATACCTTTGGAACTGGGTAAATCATATAGGTGGTTTACCACTCATGCTTATACAACAGGCAACAGGCAGCAACACATCTTCAGAGAAGTGACAAGACAAAGGAAAAGGACAAAGGAAAATCTCTGGAGGTGGCAGATTGAAGAAAGACAGGTATATGGAAAAGTAATGGCATACCAAAACAAGTTAATAAAGTTTGTTATGTAGTTTTCTCTGGTGCCTCTTCCAAGTCAAAAATCATCTCTAATGACTGAATTCACCCTTTCTGGTAGATGAGAAGTAGAGGAACTTCATTGTAAATTTATGTCCTATACTGAGACAAAGAGAGAGGGCAGAGAGTTTTCCTAATATCTACTACTTAATTGCCTTCAGCTCAAAATTGAGCCTATGACAAAGTAAAATATTTTGGAATAGTGTTCCCATGTCTTTCTTATGAGACATTATCTAATCTGTTAATTGGAATCTTAGTCTACTCAATAACATTGATTTAAGTCTAATATTATAATTTCTATATGTATTTTCTGTCTTCCTTCTTTGTACTCCTGATATTTTGCTTTTTTTTCTATTGATCAATAGTATTGCTTCGTTATTCTCCTCATTAGTTTTAGTTCAATAACTGACCTTTTTATTTTTCTTCGGTGACTTCCCTAAAAATGACACTATCTTTATGATCTCCCTGAAATGAGCACTTCTAATATTTCTTGCTTGATACAATATTTTATAGCAATTTAACTGTCTCTTGCTCTTTGTGCTGTTATATTTTGTTTGCTTATTTTTATAAATGTATACCTTACAAATTTGGCAAGGAATTTTTGTGGTGTTTTATCATCCACTGGTTATTCATATTCTGCTATCATATTTGCCATTTCTGATGTACCTTATTTGTTTTTGCAAGTCTGAGCTTCCATCTGGTTTCATTTATCTACGACCTTTAATATTTATGGAAGGACAGATCTTTGGATGGCAAATTCTCTTCACTTCTATTTCTTTTATTACTTTTCATTTTGAAAAATATTTTGCCAGAAACAGAACTACCCTTCTTTCTTTCCTAAGGAAAACCATGGTGGCTTTCAAATATATTTACCATAATCTTTTCATCTCAGTTTTAAAATATATCAAACAAAAGAAGGGCAACTTCTTTTAATCCTCTACCTAAATTTATTCTAAGAAAAGAGACTAAAAAGAAGCTCATTATCATTGGTAGAACACAATAAAGAAATAGAGTAAGATAGAAAAGGAATATATTTCCTACCCCTAAGACATGGTAATATCACATTTTGTGAACATGGATCTGTAAGCCAAGGAAGTAGCAAACAAAATAATATTCAAATGCCTTTGAATTAAGAAGCAAATTATTGGGTTGAGGATGAAGAAAATAGTGGTGAAATGAGAAGCATAAAGTTATTACTTTGTGTAGAAATGGCAAATACGGGAATTTGGAAAGAGAACAGAACCAGGGATTTGAAAAAGAATTGCTGAGGTTTGCTGAAAACCCATCTGGAGACCAAACAGTTGGCAGTCATTCATACAACTGTTTTATTGTGTCTGACAAAATGCAGAAATCTGGGGACAACAAATAATGAGATGGGTGGTTGGATAGATAAAGGACAGATGATCCAAAAGCTTTCTTAACCTTGAGGTAAAGGAATGAGATTGTTAGGATAGTAACAGAAAAGCTATTGAAACAAACTGCCACCAGAGTATCCCACAAAAGGAGGAAATAAGATGAAACTATATGGAGGCTGATGGACAGTGACTATGTGGAAAAGGAATGTAGAATTCTTCATGAATGTGCAGAAGAGGAATGAGATTTGGAAGGCAAATGAAGCTCAGGAACTATTTTAGGATAATAGTCTTTGGAATTTTAAGACACCATGCAAAAGAATTTGAGTGACAAGCATTTCTGTGCCAATAGTGCTGGGGATGGAAATGGGGTGGTGTAATGACATTAATGAAAAGTAATTTTGAAGTTTACAGGAAAGATTATCTACATGTTGAAATTACCCAGCTGATTGTGATTGACTTCACCGTATGATTGACTTCACCACTGGAGTAAAGAAATAAATGGAAGGACTCAAATAAAAAATCATGTTAAGTGAAGTGAAGTCAGGCTCAGAGAGATAAAGAGGGTGTGCAAATTTCATATTTGCAGCCAAGAATTAATTTATAAATATATAAGTAAACACTTAGGCATGGTATATAAGTACATACAAAGGTATTAGCTAAAATATGTTAGATACAGGGGAGAATGAAAATAGTGTAATGCCTTAGAAAAACTAACTCATAGTCCAGCAAAGTAAAAACCAGGAAATGGGGTCTCAAAGGTGGGAATTGAGGTAAATGAATAAGCAGGCAGGGGGGGAGGCAATCAAGAATTCAAAGTATATTGTACAAAATTAAGAAAACTGGAAGAACAGGTAGGGATGGGGTTTGGGAGGGAAGAATATTGAAAAGGGTGATATTAATCAAGATATATTGTATTCATAAACTGCTTTGTTGAATACTAACTCTTTTACACTAAAGATAATAAAGTTTTTTAAAAGATCAAGATGGTTCAAAGGCTACAATAAATATAAGTACTCAGGATTACAGAGGAGACCATCCATACAAAGCAGAACAGGAATCCAGGCACTGGTGACTCATGCCTGTAATCCTAGTTACTCAGGAAGCTGAGATCTGAGGATCGCGGTTCAAAGCCAGCCAGGGCAGAAAAGTCTGTGAGACTGTTATCTCCAATAAACCACTAGAAAACCAGAAATGGCGTTGTGGCTCAAGCGGTAGAGCGCTAGCCTTGAGCTGAAGAGCTGAGGGACAGCGCCCAAGCCAAGAGTTCAAGCCCCACAACCAACCAAAAAAAAAAAGGAAGAACCTGTTGACATACCCAGACATCATGAAACTTTTGAAAAGAGTGATTATTGTTTTAGGCTAAGAAAAAAAGTATTTTGGAGACAGGAAGTTATCAGTGCTATCTCTAAGTCTTCATGTTCCTGGAATGTGGAAGAATTTAAAGTCCTCACTTAACTAGCTACAAGAAAAGATACACTTTCAGGGACTATCCAGATTTCAAGTAAGTAAATAGGTTACAAAATTTTCCACTGAAATGATTAGAGACACAGAACAGTATGATAAGAATGTACCTCTAGAGCTGGGAAGGTGGCGCAGTGGTAGAGCGCTTGCCTTGCATGCCTGAGGCCCTGGGTTCAATTCCTCAGCACCACATAAGCAAAAAGAAAAAAGCCGGAAGTGGCGGTGTGGCTCAAGTGGTAGAGTGCTAGCCTTGAGCTGAAGAGCTGAGGGACAGTGCCCAGGCCCAGAGTTCAGGCCCCACGACCGGACCCCCCCCCAAAAAAAAAAGAATGTACCTCTATTAGTCATTGTAAAAAAAAGAAAAAGTTGATAGAGAACAGAGGACCAGGACTGGAAGACATAATTACATAATGGGATTCTAAATGAGAGCCTAATTGTCCAAAGGATGTGGAATTTGGGTTGGCATTTAATTTTAAGAGAGAAGAAAAGGTTAGGCTTACTATCAATTATAGTTAGTGCTACAGTAAGGATATTTAAGCAATGAATTTATGTCCATTATAAATTTCATAGTTAGTAGAATTGTGTTACAGCAGCACACAGAAGATTAAGAGACCTGTTTGTGTTTGATGACAAACATCTAATATTTTGTTTCCTTTTTCTGTAAATGATGAGAATAAAACTGACCTCTTTACTTATAAAAAACTGACTTCTAATAAAAATGACCTCTTATAAATGACCTCACACAATGAAATAGCATGACATTTACTTGTTAGAGTTATCTCTTAACAATAGACCTTGTACTTTCTATATCCAAAATCTAGCTTCCCAATGAAAGAACAGTACTATGGGGAAATCTCTCCAAAGGTATGCAGAGCATAGCTGGAAGCCTATCTGTAATTTCACCACAGTGAAAAAAAGACAGAAGTTATCATTGACCAAAGAGAAAGTCAGTTATGATACAAGACACTTCTGTGAGTGACTGTGCAGAAGGGAAGGACAACTGGTTTAAACACCAATGTAGAAAGGAAAACATACTAGAAGACCATTTCTAG